GCTCTAGGGGAATTCTTCAAGTTTTACTTGGAAATGTACACTTGTTGCCAAATTTCATATTCATCCCCCCCCCCCCCACCCCAAATATAACTGGTTTAAATAAATAAAAATAAATAAATAAAAGTACATTTTATGAAAACATTAAAGATTTGTGTTCTATTAAAAGCCGATATATTTCCGTTTGGATCAATTAGTTGGAAAAATGTGCGAGTCACGTTTGTACAGAGGTTTTGTAATAAAAGAAGATGGAGCCCACACCCAACTGTTGATGATCAACTAGATTAAGGTTGTAAAAGAGCCGAAACAGGAAGGTGCCTTGTTTGTTCGTCGACATGTGACGACCATATATGTATTCAGTAAAACCATAAAGGCAGTCACATGAGCCTTTTTAATATATACACACACTTTAATATATAAATAATCTATTATTTTAAATATTTACACTTCATATCCCTGAAACACACCAGGAATTACCCTCAAATTCTTTGAAATGGGTCGTCAGGTCCATAAAACCATAAACTCCATTTACAACTGTTCTTTTTTATCTAGGTGCAGGCATCACCTCATCGTTCAAACATGAACTTCAACTTTTTGGGCCCTATATCTGCACCACACCCGCAGTCAACTCAGGTTTTACAGCCTGCCCGTTGGATCAGTATGGTTTATTACTGACTTTACAGAGAAGCTGTCGGAGAATATCAAGATTAGGTAATAATTTATTTATCCCTGTGAGGATCTCAGTCATTCAGGTCTGTTAAGAGTCACACAAAAAAGATAAATGACCAGTTTCATTTTCCTATAGACAATGTTTTAGTTGCATTGTTTGGAAAGTTATATAGTCTAGAATTAATTAACTTGACGACAATATCGTTCATTTGCAATCAGTTTACATATCAGACAGGATTATTGTCTATACACCATCATTCTACACCTCATACCCTAAAAAGAATTGAAAAATGTAATTTTCATTCCTTTTCTCCAGACTTGCATAGAGCTACCACCACCTTTACAACACTTTGTCGATCGGTGTCTTTAATCATCCTAACCTCTAATAACTTCCCACCAAATTTCCATCTGAACATTTGAAAGTTTTACTTTTATGTACAATCACAAAGTTAAATCCCTTCAAAAGCAATTGATAGTTGGTCTTTTATACATTTGCATTGTGATGCATTTGATGTTTTAAAAATTAATTGCAGCAGAATTAGAAAATGAAGTAAAACCAGTTAAACTAGGTTTTATATTAGAATAGTTTAAGTAATAATTACAGTTCAGATTGGAAACGATGAACTATTGCATGAGTGAATCTTTTGGGACCACTTACCATATTGACTGTCTTCAGTGGGTTGTGCCTCAAGTGACAAAGTTCTGCAGGCAGGTGAGCGTTTTATACAACGCCACTGGTGACGTGTGGGCTCAGGAAGTAACCGACGAGTAAAAGGTCAAAGACGACAAATATAAAGACCGTTCCATTGCTGTTTATTGAATGCACCTGTTCGTAGGCGGTTCATGATAATTGTCTGAAATGTATGTATGCTGAGTTGTGCTAGGGCCGATGTGTAGCCCAGAAGACATATAGATTTTTGACTGCACGCACGTATGAACGTGCTTAATAATGTTGGAGATAAATAAACTTATACTAACGAAAGTGAGTTTGGGACTCTGTCAACGGTGAGTCCCCTTTAACGTCTGCACCAGTGATTCAGAGTATCACTTTACAGTAAATATGGTAATCAGTTAAACACGTTTTTTAGAGTTCTGCTCTAAAAATGCAATCACGCAGACACATATATATGTTTTTAAAATTATATTTGAACAGAAATGCACTCTTCTTTTGTTATTCAAAGTATTTAACAAAAGACATAGAGGTCATTTACTTTAAAAATGTAAATGAATCGCAGCAGTAGACAACCCCCCCCCCCCATCATTTACATATGTAAGTGTAGCTGTTACCAGTGGTATTACATAGCTGTGTTATTTAAATTTTAATCTACACTGAAAACCAAACCATTAGTAATGTTTCCACAACATTGTTATCTGTCTTGAATAATCTTAATACAAGTTTTGCTTGATATGTAACATGTAAATTTTGTCTAGACATTTTGACTTTTGTTTCTCTTCTTAAAAAAAAAATAAAATAAATAAGCATGTTACTCTCAGTGGGTGTACAGGCTACGTGTCATGGACTTTAAGTGAAATATGTCATCATGGTTTGAGGGCGTCACTTTGTAGTGGGCGTGGTTATTTGCGTTTTGCTGCATTCATTGAATATAGGATTTTATAGTTACAATAATCACGTGTTGTTCCCCCTTTTTTTAATGGAAGGCAAACATTTGTAAATAGACATGGCGTTTGCTGTACTTAACTTAAGAACAACAAAGTTCAAAGAGTACAGTCGTGAAAAAGCCTCAAACACGACAAAATCAAGAACACTGAGAGCACTTATCAGATTGTTGTGTGATTATGCAGGAGAAGCAAGCACTAAACATTTGCACGGCTCTCAACAAACCTGTCTGTTTTGAAAATGTATTATTCTGTTTTTAAGTTAATCTGAAGCGCCGTCCACCTACATCTCATTCTGGCCAGAGAAGCAACCAAAATCAAGCTCGTCCAACATGTTTTTGCATTCAGCAATCTTTTTGTTTTTTCTTGTCTTCTCATTTAAATGTTTTAATTGGTAACCAATGCTTCAACAGCACTGGTTTCATTCATATTAAAGGGCTATGTCATCATCTTGAAGGTACTACACTATTGCAAAAAAAAAAAAAAAGTTATTCTTGTAATTTATCATCAAAAACTAAAATAAATCAAAAATACTGACTTAATCAAAGTCTGTTTTACTTAACAGTTTTTACCCATGATTTTCGGTTCACTTTTCATTCTAGAACAGTAGACATATACGTTTCTTTTACTTTAATCTAAATCACTTTCAAATAAAAATATTAAAGCATTAAGTATCATTTCAATACGTAAAACTATTAAGCCTACATTGACAATGACAAGTTTCCCTTCCAAATATGGCGGATTTGTTGACGTATTGCTACATAAATACTTAGCATTTAGCCTATTTAGTTTTAAGAAATAATAAGGCAGATTATAAATATGGGAAAATATGTATCAATTCCGCTTTCAAACTTGAAATTTCTACTGCATTTTATTTTCTTCTACAAAGCATTGACAATTTTCCGTGTTTCTCAAACGTAGCACAAACTCTACGTCTTCACCGCAGCCAATCCCTTGTCGCTATTTGAAATGGGCGTGGCTTAAACATCTGATCCCAGAAGTCCAAGAGCCAACCAGAATAAACACCAAAGTTAGCTCGTCGGCTAGGTAATATTTCTCCTATATCTTTACTTATAACAGCGTCTAATATGTAATTCCATTTCATACACATATCAGTAGCAACATTCTTGACAGGCTGACACACTTTAGATAATTTATTTAGATAAAATGTTGATGAAGTGTCGTGTATCTAATTGCAAGTTCAATGTTTGGCTAACAGCTTTAGCTTAAGTTGCTCTGAGCTTATGGCTAATTGTTCAATGAATCAAAAAGAAAGATGTGTTCGATTGTTTACTTTTGAGGGCTTTGCAGTTGTTTTGCTTTTCCAGAGATGGCGTCGGTAACGCCAACAGAACCGGGGGTGTGCCCAGGCTCAGGGCAGGCAGAGAACGTAGTGCCCGCCTGTATGTTTGCACCGGACCGGGGATGTTCCGCAGCCGACGGAGAAGTGGAAGACTGCGGGGGTGCAAATGGAGAGGCCCTGGATCATATAGACCTGAGCAGCAAGGTAGGCCTCGTTGTTTATTGTAGCCAAAGAGAGGATGTTTTGATTAGATCATCGTGAAGAGTTACAACATCTCTGCAACAAATGCGTCAGTATGCTGACTTGGCAAAACACTAGTTACTTCTCATATGTTTTGTTCCATCCACATGACATGCAGGCAGGGATTATAGCAGCTGATTGAATTTATTTCTATATTTACAGTGTGTGTGTGTGTGTGTGTGTGTGTGTGTGTGTGTGTGTAAATATATGCACATACACACCGTATAACCATTATCTTTAGCTGCTTCTTCCTTACTCATCTTGTTTGAGAAGGTCACCGGATCAAATCCCGGCCGAAGATCTTTCTTGGTGGAGTTTGCATGTTCTCTCCGTGCATGTGTGGGCTTTCTCCGAGTACTCTGGTTTCCTCCCACAGACTACAAACATGCATGTTAGGCTGATTCGTAACTTTAAATCAATCAATCAATCAACCTTTATTTATACAGGTAAATCCCATTGAGCCTCGAGGACTCATTTACAAGAGAGACCTGATTTCAACAAAGAAAGATGACAACAATGGACAACAGCAACAACAATAAACAGTTATAAAAAAAGCATACTACAGTTTTTTTTGTTGTTTTTTTAACAAATAGGATGGCTAAAAGGAAAAGGTAACAAAACAAAAAACAGCTAGATTCCAAGACAAATGTAGAAAACTAACAACAGGAACATGTCAGCATTGGACCCTGCCAGGTGTCCAACAGATTCTTAAAGACACTTAGAGAGGTCAAGGTCGATTGTCCCTATAGGTGTGAGTGAGAGAGTGAATGGTTGTTTGTCTCTATATATGTGTCCCTGTGTTGGACTGGAGACCTGTCCAGGGTGTCCCCCGCCTCTCGCACAGTGATAGCTGGACATGAGCACCAGTGACTCAAAAAGGAAGTAGCGAGTAAAACATAATTGATGGATGGATGTATACGTGATGTATTTTATTTTTATTTTTTCAGCTGGTTCTTGTGAGCCCAACAGCAGAACAGTATGATTCGTTACTACGACATCTGAAGGAGCGGCTAGAAGAAGGCTGCGGAGAGACAATCTATGTTGTAGGGATGGGATCAGGTAAGACAGACAAACCAAGTTGGACGTGTTTTCTTGAGCAAATATCTGAGCAAAATAAAAACAACATCTAGTTAATGGGATTTTTTGTAACTAAGATGTCCTGATACATGCTCAATAATCCAGGTAGATAAATCTAACAAGGTTAAGTCAAGTCCTCTGGACTGATGTCAGTAAACAAGAATCTGTCCAGAAGACCTGATTTAACCTTGTTAGATTTTTAACTGTTCATGTTGTGTTTTATTTTTTATATATATAATTTAATTTGGTCACATAAAACAGCTATAAATTCCAATTCCCTGCAAAGAGATTTTCTTTGCTACAAATAGACCGTCACATATGTGTTTTTATATTTTCATTAATACTCATAACGCAATTATGAGGGGAAAAATGATTCAGGCATTTTATCGACATGATCAGAATCAAGAGTTTTAGTCTCAAAATTAAAATGAACTTTATTAATAAATATGTCTATATTACCAGCACATGCAACGTATAAAGCATTTAAACCTATTTTTAGTTACAACACCAAACATCAAACAATAGAACATTTTGTATCAATAACATTTCTGGAGATTTTTATTCTTCATTTTTTTCTTTTAAAATATAATATCACTACTAAACCCAGCGTCAGAAAAGGTCAAACTTTTTTAAAATGTATTATTAAATTATGAATGAATTGCATTTGTTTTGGGCTTTATTTTTCAAATGTTTTGAAAAAAAGAAAACAGTTATGGTCGAAGTTTATGGCAGGCAAATTTAATTAAAAAAAAAAAATCTTAAAACAAAGCAAAACATAGTTTTGAACTTTAAAAAGAGATTTAGAAATTAAAAAAAAAAAATGCTAAAGTTTGTTGGAAAATATGCACATTCTGTTTTCACCACTGCTTGTCTCTCAGTCCCTTTATTTATAATCCACGCTGTAGCTTAATCTGTTTTAGAAGAGTATAAATTAGGAGTGGAACTTGTTTTTCTTCTAAATCTATAAGAACACCAAAGCTACCAGTTTAAAGTTCTTGTTGTCACTTCATTTGAGTTTTGGTTTTCATTTTGTAACCTTCTGCTTCACACACAAACACGAGGACCTTCGTCGCCAACCAGACTTGTTACAGAAGCATGCCTGACCCATTTGGCGTGCCGGAGAGGGACCGGGGGAGGGTGTCCCTTGTGCATATTTGAAAGGGAGTCATTTACCAGTACTCTGCAGTGGGGCTGCCACTTGTTCTGTTGCACATTTGTCAGTGCTCATGTGTCTGCCTGGATTAGCAGCTGATGTTTCTGCTGACCTGAGCGAATATTGTTTTTTTAGCTTAATGGAAGAAAAAAAAAGTCTTTGTAGCCAGCCGGTGTGCGTGGTTTATATAGAAACAAACATAAGTTGTAACTGTTTTAATTATACAGTGTCGGTGCTTTCTTTCATGGAAATAATGCCTTAGTGCTGGATCTACTTCCAGGCTTTTTGTGTAAATTGTCTTCAGGCCCTATCACGTAGTGACTTATAGCATCATCGTATGCCAACAAATGAAAGAAATGGGAAATGCGCTGGTGTAAATGTTGAATAAGTTTCCAGCACGCTGATATATGATGGCATAAGTTGTCGTGCGCTGATGCTACTTAAAAAATTTGTCCATGCTCAAATTTGTTTCAGTGTATGTCGACATTTTGCTGATAAGTTAGGGTTAAGTTACAGGTATGCGACCGAAAAGTTACTCATAAGTTGATATGTATTAAAACTAGCCGGGCAGTTGTGAAACATACAAGTAACCTTTTTCTAACCTATGAGCAACTTATGTCTAACGTATCTGTAACTTATAAATAGCACCTTCTCATAGTGGATCAACCAGTTTGCTGCTGACAACCAAAATCAGCTGCTCACATGATCATGGAGGACCATCAGCCTAACAATGGATTGTTAGCACCCTGATGGCTGTTTGTGAAAAGAAACCGTCCATCATTAAACGGGTGGAGGCCTCCGTGTTCAACTGTCCCCCTCTTATAATGCTGTTATTGTTAGTATCACTCAGCCCCCTGTGAATAGCAAGCAGCCATCAGTGTGCTAACGATCCATCGTTAGGCTGATGGTCCTCCTTGATTATGTGGTTCTTAATGACGTTATTGAAGCGTTGGATACTAAGGATTATTGTGCTGCACTTTTCTTAGACCCGTCTAAAGCTTTTGACACTGTGGATCATAACATCTTGTGTCATAAGCTCTCAGAAATCGGTTTCTCAGAACACACTATTTGTCGGTTTAACTATCTTTCAGATCGGAGGCAATGTGTTCAACATAATGGTACTTCCTCCAGTTGTATAGAATATAATAGAAACAGCCTTTATTGTCCCACAGATTGGAAATTCAAGTGTAACAGCAGCAGCAAGAGATAAAAAGATAAAAGATATTTAACGTCAACAATGGTGTACCACAAGGATCAGTCTTAGGACCCATCCTCTTTACAATCTACATATGTAATGTAGGTCAAAACATCCCTGATGCATCCATACATTTCTATGCTGATGACACAGTTGTTTATTGTCGAGCTAAAACAGTTGATAAGGCTTTCCAGCTTTTGCAATCTGCATTTAACCTCATCCAGTCTGATTTGTTCCACCTCAAACTTGTCCTAAATGCCGACAAAACCAAATGCAGACATGTTCCTGTTTTTAGTTTTCTACATTCGCCTTATAATCTAGCTGTTTTTGTTACTTTTTTGGCCATCTTATTTGTAAAAAAAAAAAATCTGTATGCCTTTTTATAACTGTCTATTGTTCTCCATTGTTTTCATCATTCTTTGTTGAAATCAGGTCTCTCTTGTAAATGAGTCCTCGAGGCTCAATGGGATTTACCTGTCTAAGGCCCTATTTCCACGGACACGATGGGGGGAAATGCAGGTTTTTTCGTATGTTAATTAGAGGAAAAGATCCGCGTTGACACGGACGGATTTTGTGTTTACATGCATTCAAAGGAATCCCCCACGCCCTCCCAAATACGCTGTAGTTACCACGCCAGGTCATTAGATGGCGCTGTGACTTTTGTACCTTCACCTAATGTGCATGCGTGCTGCCTCGGCACGCTTCTTTCCTGTGAGCTAAAAAGCTCAGCTAACAACAATTTAACAACAAGTAAAAGCTGGATTTTGGCTGGATTGTGGATAAGAGTCGACAGATTTGACGCCAAGCGGGACCGCTTCGTCTAACAGCTCCACACCGGTCGCTGAGTGGACCAGAACCGAGTCGACGATGTCGGACTTTACTCCTTGATAATCAGTTGGTGATTTACAGCAGGTAAATCAGTTTTCTTAATAATGTTAGTTTGTGTTTACTTCGGTTACAAAATAACCAACTGAATTTTTCATTTTTTCCTGAAAGAAGAAGCTGTCTCCCACCAGGCGGACCGGTTCTGAACGAGGCTCGGCCCAGGTGCAGTGCAGGAGGACGTCGAAGAGAGAGCTGTTGGATGAACTATTTATTTAAAATTCCCCTCAGTTGTTTTATTAAATCCATTCAATGTTTTAAGCTGCATTAATCAAAGTAGTGACAGCCTGAACGAGCCAGATGAACAACGTGGGACTTCCATACTAGATGAAAACAAGAGTCCAGTTGTTTATTAACGTAGTTTACAGTTAACTTGTTTTAATAGTGTGTTCAGTTTAATTATCAGTGTTTGTGTGACATACAGTTTGTGGTGTTGAATAAATAAATAAAAATTAAACCTGATGTCTTCATTTTCAACTTTAGTGTTCACGCTATATGTTTAGCATCATTTAAAATTTGAATTGCATAATGTCCAGATAGCTTCATTTAGCTCAGAGCTTCATTATATCTCACACACTAACATAAATACTGTTTATTATTATTAAACTGTTATTATTTAGCACATTTAGTATGTTCTAGTGTAGCGCGACGTGTGCGCGTGCCACGTTCTATAAACAGCGACATTAGAACTGGATCAGATTGTGTCTCTTCCAACACAGATGTCGGTCACAGCACCTGGAATCTGACGTAGATTAACTACGAGATTAAAAATATATTCCATCAGTCATAGTTCTGAAAGCACTGTGTCCGCCGCCATGTTGATAGAAACACAGCGTCTGTCCGCGCGTGCGCGTGCATGTGCGTGCGCATGTGGTTTAACACAAAGCCTCAGCGGGAGATGTTTACATTATCAGCGGGGGGTCAGCGTAAAACCTCCACTCTGGAAGGTGGATTCAGAAACCTCCGGATTCAAAGAGGGGGGCCACTGGTGTCGTGTAAATGATCAGCAGAACCGCAGAGAGAAAGCTGCGGATGCACTCATAATACGCGCCGTGTAAACGGCCCCTAAATAAAGGTTGAATGATTGGCTGTCGGCAGCAAACTGGTTGATCCACTATGAGAAGGTGCTATTTATAAGACTGAGCTGAATACAGCACCTCAGACTGAAGAAGTCTTTTGGCTGAAAGATGAAATGTTTCTACCTTTTTGTTTTGTTTGTTTTGTTTTTTGAATGTCCAGAGGACCAGACTTAACTTTATTAGATGTTTCTACCTGGATTATTGAGCACGCATCAGGACACTCCAACATGCTTTAAGTTCGGCATAAGTTACACTAACATTGTGCATAAGTTCTGCATTGGTAAACAACGCTGTCATACGTTTGTATAATTTACATGTATGCTAGGACAAGTTATGGCTAAGTTATAGGTTATAAATGTGGTCAACTTGTTAACAGTAAGGTACATATACATCCAAAAGAAGCTTCCAGTTGATTTTTTATATTCCACCTTCTGTGTGTGCCAGTGTGTTGGACAACATTTGCATAGTGTGACAGGGCCTTTACGTTTGATGTGTATACTTTTGTTTCACACAATGAAAATAAACGGTCCTGGATAATTTGAACTTTGTTTGAACATAATTTACATTGAGGCAGTTATTTTAGGACTTTTGAAATTACAGTAATTATCTTCAGATTTTGACACTCCCACTGCCATAATTTATTTTTACCACCATCTTATGCTAGTTTCCAGAGGGTATGAATCCAATGGGATATTAATTGCACTCTTAAATGGTTTGGACACTTTATTTTGAGTTTTATATTTTCCCTTTGTCAAACTTGATAAGAAATCCTGGTCATTCCACTTTTGATGAAAGCACATCATGGTTTTTATTATAATTTCTGCTCTCTGTGCTGCTGCAGAGTAATTACACCTTCCTTCCTCTTCCCTCTGTAGATGGAGGAGATTATGGTCTGAATGAGAATGACATGGAAGCATCAGTCGCCACGGTGTGGTCGCTGTGTGGACAGATCGAAGCTGACGTAATCCTGCTGAGAGAAAGAACCGACACTGGTGGGAAGATTCAAGACTACCTCATCCGTCGGCATGTGGGGGAGCAGGACTTCCTGGAAGTCAGGTGCAAATGAGAAGAGGTTCCAGGAAGTTAATAATGTAGATTTGTGCCTGTTTTATCTGTAGTAGTCCATAAACTGCGGAGGTGTTTAACAAATCTCAAGCTACTTGCTTCTCATATCTAAACTACACCGTGAGGTGTAAATGAACAACGTTTAAACATTTGAAAAAACAGAATTACATTAAGCCAAAGTGAAAGTGGCCGAAATCCATCCATCCATTATCTTTTACCCGCTTCTTGCATTTTGGGTCACAGGGGTCGCCGGTGCCCATGTCCTGCAATCACTGTGCGAGGGGCGGGGTACAACCTGGACGGGTGTCCAGTAGGGCTTTAACAGACTACTCGAGTAATCTACACATCGATTCTTAGGACATCAAGTTTTTAAATTTCAGGTCGAGTATTCGTAGGGACGTCATTACGTCGCCGTTATGTCATTGCGTCACGTGTCACGTGATCTGCACCGGGCGCGGGTTACAAAATGGATTCCTCCAAGCAGACGGATGGCACAAAGCAGGCCCTTTCTTGGCAAACGGGTAGAAATGCATCAATAGTCTGGAAATATTTCACTAAAGATGAATCTTCTGGTTCAACTATAGACACATGGAGACAAACGAGACAAACAACCATTCACTCTCTCACTCACACCTAGGGACAATTTAGAGTTACCAATCAGCCTAACATACATGTTTTTGGTCTGTGGGAGAAAAATCGGAGTACCTGGAGAAAACTCACACATGCACGGAGAGAACATGCAAATTCCACCCAGGAAGGCACCCGGACCAGGATTTGAACCGGGGACCTGCTTGCTGAGAGGCAGCGGCTCTACCAGTTGCGTCACCAGGCTCCCGTGGCCGGAATCATATTTGAAAAAGCAGAATTACATGTGGAAACAATGTAATAAATAAACGTAATAAATAAATAACAATAAAGTAAATAAAGGCAGCACGGTGGCGCAACTGGTAGAGCTGCTGCCTCTCAGTGAACAGGTCCCTGGTTCAAACCCCAGTCCAGGGGCCTTTCTGGGTGGAGTTTGCATGTTCTCTCTGTGCATGCGTGGGTTTTCTCCGGGTGCTCCGGTTTCCTCCCACAGCCCAAAAACATGCATGTTAGGCTGATTGGTAACTCTAAATTGTCCCTAGGTGTGAGTGAGAGAGTGAATGGTTGTTTGTCTCGTTTGTCTCTATGTGGCCCTGTGATGGACTTGCGACCCGTCCAGGGTGTACCCCGCCCCTCGCACAGTGATTGCTGGACATGGGCACCGGCGACCCCCGTGACCCAAAATGGAATAAGTGGGTAAAGATAATGGATGGATGGATAAAGTAAATAAATAAATAAACCACTAAAAACAAACCCCACCACTTCCGGTTCAGCTTAATGTAATTCTGTTTTGTCAAATGTCGTTAATTTACACCTCACAGCCACCGTACTAAACACTTAGTAGAATTACTGAGTAACAGACACTTATAAAAGGACAAGTATAAACTTACCCAAGTATATAAACATTATAGCTGCATAAAACTGAAATCTCACTTGTCTTGTGATCAGAGTGGCGGTGGTTGGGAATGTGGACGCTGGAAAGAGCACCCTGCTTGGCGTTTTGACCCATGGTGAGTTGGATAACGGCAGAGGCTTTGCTCGCCAGAAGCTCTTCAGACACAAACACGAAATGGAAAGTGGCAGGACCAGCAGTGTGGGTAACGACATCCTGGGCTTTGACCAGGATGGACAGGTAAGCTGCTGCCACTTCTGAGTAGAACGGTCCAGTTCTACTAGTATGATGCAAATAAGTAATAAAACTGGACATTTTTATTTAAAAGTTGTAATTAAATGTTATAGGTTGAGATTAGTGCTGAGAAACATCATTTTCTGTATGTGTTTTTTTTATATATACACTGTTTTATTTATTTATTCTTTAAGCTCTTTACAACTATATTTAAACATTCTTGCTTTGTGGCTTTTCTTCAATTCTTTACTTTTTTATCTTTTTTTTTGCCGTAAACCATGAAGTCACATCCCAGTACTTCTGTGCTCGTGTTTCTTTAGGTGGTTAACAAGCCAGACAGCCATGGTGGAGGCCTGGACTGGACCAAGATCTGTGAGAAATCGTCAAAAGTGATCACGTTTATTGATCTGGCCGGTCATGAAAAGTATCTAAAGACTACCGTCTTTGGCATGACGGGACACCTGCCTGATTTCTGCATGCTAATGGTGAGAGGGGAGGCCAAGATGAGGCGTCGCAGTGTTCAGTTATTATTCAATCCTGTTAATTGGTAAATGGTACAGGTCTTTTTCAGTGTAAAATGTTCAATTTTGAGTTTGGAAAAGCAAAATTTGATTGTTTTTGTGTTTAATTTTTAGTGTTTCTTTGTTGTTTTTCATTTATTTCAGGTTGGCAGTAACGCTGGGATAGTTGGCATGACTAAAGAGCATCTTGGTCTGGCTCTAGCCCTAAATGTACCAGTATTTGTTGTGGTTACTAAGATAGATATGTGTCCAGCTAACATCTTACAAGGTAATCAGACTTCTGCTGAAGTGTCTATTTAATCATTTCAACACTTTTTAACTTTGTTGATGTAAAGTAAAAAGTAATGTGTATGGATTTTGTTGTGTATAGAACTTGACTTAATTCTTTGTTTGTTTGTTTTTTTAATCAACGTAGGAAGTTTCTATTTTATTCTGAAATAGAGACTTGCCAGTTTTAAGTTTATTTAAGAACTTTATAAATGCAGAGCTGGTCTCCTTTAGTAGCATACTTTGCAGATGACCACATGTTAGCGCAGACAGTAAGAATATCTCAGTAACATGAACACTGCTTTTAATAATTTACTTCTATCCACACATTCACATCCTGAAAGGTTAACTTCCTCAATTCTTGTAATCAAAGTGTTTATTGATTTTTGATTTTAACTTCCTCAATTCTAATCAATATCACATGCACTTCTATTGCACACTTAAAAACAGTGTTGATAAAAAAAACAAAAAAAAACACAGTGTCTCATGTGTTTGTGGGTTTGTCTTTTTTTTTTTTTTTTTTCTACAGAGACATTAAAATTATTACAGCGGTTGTTAAAGTCACCCGGCTGCAGAAAAATCCCAGTTCTGGTCCAGAATAAGGACGATGTTGTCGTCACAGCCTCCAACTTCAGCTCTGAGAGGTAAGAACAAAGAGACGGAGCGCTGAAAAATGGAAAGATATCAATCAGAGTTCGAGATGTGAGAGCTCCTGTGAATATTTTTGAAAAATATACTAACCCCTAAAAACCCCCCCAAAAAACAATCTTGGCCTAAAAGTAGAGTCCCTGAGAGGTCAAACATGGATTTCCTGAAACTAAATGGCCTTAATTGTTTTTGCAAACCCATTTAAATGAAGACGATGTTTGTCGACACACTCTTGAAGTATCATGTAGTTTTAAAAATGTATTTCAATATCAAATCTTCAATTCCTTTTTCTTGTGATGAGAGTTGCTTGATGAAGTGTAATTCTTTAACAATCACACTTCTTCTTTTTCCCTCTGACTCCCTCCTACACTTTAGGATGTGTCCAATTTTCCAGATCTCCAATGTAACGGGGGAGAACATGGACCTGCTGAAGATGTTCTTGAATCTTCTCTCTCCAAGGACCACGTATAACGATGACGAACCTGCAGAGTTTCAAATAGACGACACGTACTCTGTACCTGTAAGAAATACAATTCAGCCTCAGGCTCTGACAGGTTGCTTTATTTACTGTTTTTGATCTTGTTATGCTTAGTGACTGGCAGAGCAGAATAAAACAGACTAAAAAGAGCCCAAGTTCACTGCACATGAGCTGGAAACTGACAGTTGTTAAAAAAAAGTGCATAGTGGAGCATTTTCTTACTAAAAACTATATAAAAAAAATATTTAGTACTTTTCTGTTGCTGTGAAGCCAGAAAACTTGAAAAGTAAAAGCCCCAGTGGTGGAAGAACCAGATGTGATCTTATATTGATCTTTTCTTGACAGGGTGTTGGCACAGTAGTTTCAGGTACTACGTTACGTGGATTGATACAACTTAACGACACGCTGCTTTTAGGCCCAGACCCACTTGGCATCTTCATCCCCATCACCGTGAAGTCCATCCACCGCAAGAGGATGCCCGTCAAAGAGGTTCATGGAGGACAGACGGCATCGTTTGCACTAAAAAAGGTACGTTTTACCACGGTTGCAGCTACAAAGAGTACTTGACTGCTTTTTAATTGTGTCCAGGGTTATTTATGGAAAACCATACTCATTATTTTTTACTTTATCCATTCACAGATCAAACGAGCATCTATAAGGAAAGGAATGGTGATGATTTCCCCGAAGTTACAGCCTCAGGCCACCTGGGAATTTGAGGCGGAGATCTTAGTGCTGCACCATCCAACCACGATATCACCACGGTACCAGGCTATGGGTTAGTCAAAACGCTCTTCCATATGTTTAACTACGTTCTACATACGGATATACAATCCACGTGTCTAACAAACCCAGCACAAATATCTGTCTTTTTATTGCAATCTTTCAGTGCACTGTGGCAGCATCAGGCAAACTGCCACCATCTTGTCTATGAACAAAGACTGTCTGAGGACAGGGGACAAGGCTACAGTCCACTTTCGCTTCATCAAGACACCAGAGTACCTGCACTGTGATCAGAAGCTTGTGTTCAGGGAGGGGCGTACCAAAGCTGTAGGCACCATCACTAAGGTACCGGTGCTAGAGCTTCCGGTTGCTTCTGGTTTGGTTTCAGTTCGTCAGGGATCGATTCTTTGTTCGTATTAGCTACAATTAAATTTTAGATTAAGCAACAGTAACTAATTCTAATTGTGATGACCCTCGCAGCTTCTCCAGTCAGTGAACGCCCAGCAGTCCAAGTCTCAGGCTCACAAAAAGACTTTCGGCGAGGACTCTGGATCAGCAGCACGGCCGCAAAGCCCAACCACCGTGCACTCATCGGTGAGTTCAAGGATGCTCAGAAACCATCAAGTTTTACTCGGACGATGAAGCAGAAGTTTGAACGTTTTCATGTTAAAACATTTCCAAAGTTGGGTGGAGTTGCAACAGGCTAAATAATTGCTGAAAATTCCAAATATAAATAAATAAATAAAAATATGTGCTCGTTTTGATCATTTTAGATGCTGCATTTTTAGGGAAATTAATGATATATATTTTTAAATGTGTTTTCCTTCTTTCAGTTCTTGTCTTACTTACCCTGGGTTGTGTACCTTCATACCTCTTCATAAAAAAAAAAAATCCTATAAATCACAATTTTCACTGCTTTCTTGTGCATTTTCTGCTGTTTGTTCTTTGTGCTGGGGTTTTAATGCTTCGTTTTCCTGCTAATACCTCTCTTCCTCCCTCCCTGTCTTGGCATGCTGCGTTAGACAGTGGCAGAGGAGGAGGCGCTATGTAAAGATGACAACAAAGAGAACCAGGTAAAGAAGTGGCTGCAGGCCTCACTATGGAGGCTCCCCAAACCTAGACGTAGCTCGGTTGTTGCTCCACTTTCTTAAACTTCTTTTTCTGAGCATGTTTTACTGACAAGTAGAAGACTCCAACCAGTCACCCAACTTTTCAGCAGCTTTTCTTTAATTAGTTGGTTACTACTTCCTGAACTGGATTTTTCTAAAAGTTGTTTTAAAACTACTTATCTTAAGAGAAAAAAATACCGTTTTCTTAAAATGTTCCCATTTTTTAACAAGGTTTGAAAATATCCTCATTCACAGTACTAATAAGAAATAGTTTATTATTGTATTTTAGTTTGGTATTTTGAAAGGTTAAATTAATGTAGAGGTTGAAGAGGTTTTAGTTATTCAATTATGTCTGTGTTGGTTTATTTCAGTTCAGTAATCTTTATTATCCCCAGGGGGCAATTAGTTTCACAGTCAGCAGGCACATAAAACATCCATACAAGACAAGTCATTGAGACATCACAACAACAGAACAGAAATAGTCATTATTCTGATGCATGCTCAATAATCCAGGTAGAAAAATCTAAAAGTTAACTCTGGTCCTCTGGGCATTCAAAAAACAAAACAAAGCAAAACAACAAAATAATGTAGAAACGTTTCGTCTTTCATCCGATGATGTTTTTGTCCTTGCTAAGAGTGACATCATTTATCAAAAACAAAAACATCATCATTCTCCCAGCAGACAAAGGAAGGTGCACAGTGATTTTGAACCAGAAAGACTATCATGAGAAAGTTATGACACTCCTTAGTGACTTAACACTTATGAACCTCTAAAAAGAGATCCAGGAAGCGGTTACAAGAAGTTGATAGATTACCTGGAAATGTTGGAGCAGGACGAGGCTATTGACCGTATTCTGTACCACAGACTGTACCCAGGGGAGGCCACACCTAGTCTGTATGGTTTACCTAAAATCCACAAACAAGGTGTACCTTTAAGACCTATTGTTAGCATGATTAACTCTGTCACTTACAATGTTTCCAAATATCTGGCGTCTGTACTTATCCCTTTAGTTGACAGCTCAGAACACCACATACAGAACACCATGGACTTTGTGGATAAGGTGAGGGATGTCATCATGGAGACTGATGAAACAATGGTCTCTTTTGATGTCACATCACTCTTTACGTGCATTCCTGTTGATGATGCAGTAGAGGTGGTCAGTTTAAGGTTAAAATCAGACACCACTCTGAGCAGCAGGACCACGCTTTCCACAGAACAACTGTGTCAACTCTTGAAACTGTGCCTGCAGTCAACCTACTTCACATATGGGGAGCAATATTATAGGCAGAAACATGGGTGTGCTATGGGGTCTCCAGTTTCTCCTATTGTTGCCAACCTGTACATGGAGGAGGTAGAAACGAAAGGCTTGACGTCCTTTTCAGGGACACCACCAAGTCATTGGTTCAGGTATGTTGATGACACCTGGGTTAAAATTAATTCTCAGGAAGTCCAACATTTTACTGACCACATCAACTCTGTGGATAAATACATCAAGTTCACACGAGAAGATGTAAAAAATGGCAGGTTGGCTTTCTTGGACTGTGAGGTCTCAGTCTCTGATAGAGGACATTTGCAAACTGAGGTGAACTGCAAACCCACCCACACAGACCAGTATTTGCAGTTTGACTCCCATCACCCTTTGGAGCACAAGTTAGGAGTCATCAGGACTCTGTATCACAGAGCAGACAGCATCCCCACTAACTCAGGAGCCAGGCAGAAGGAGAAATCCCACACCAGACAGGCTCTAGAGCAATGTGGATATCCTAACTGGGCCTTCCTGAAAGCAGAGAAGAAACCCAAACAGGACTCCAGTCAGCCATCAGGTGAAAAGGAGGAACCCAGACCCAGACCAGTGGTCATTCCGTATGTTGAGGGAGTATCAGAGAAACGGAGATGTTTATTTTCTAAACATAACGTCCCAGTGGCTTTTAAACCCCAAAATACATTACGACAAAGACTGGTTCATCCCAAAGATCCAGTCCCCCGGCACAAACAGAGTAATATTGTGTATGCTGTTCAGTGTCAGGAGGGCTGTGATCAGTCTTACATCGGGGAAACAAAACAGCCACTGGCCAAAAGGATGGACCAGCACAGAAGATCAACATCATCAGGCCAGGATTCTGCGGTCTACACTCATCTCCAGGCCAGCGGCCACTCTTTCAGGGATGAAGATGTTCACATCCTGGACAGAGAGGAACGATGGTTTGAGAGAGGAGTAAAGGAGGCCATCTTTGTGAAAAGAAATTGTCCATCATTAAACAGGAGTGGAGGCCTCCGGGTTCAATTGTCCCCCTCTTACAATGCTGTGATTGCTCGTATCACTCAACCCCCAGTGAATAGTAAACAGCCATCAGTGTGCTAATGATCCATTGTTAGGCTGATGGTCCTTCTTGACCATGTGATCAGCTGGTTTTGGTTGTCAGCAGCAAAACTGGTTGATCCACTCTGAGAAGATGCTGTTTATAAGACTGAGCTGAATACAGCACCTCAGACTGAGGAAGTCTTTCGGATGAAAGACGAAACGTTTCTACATTTTTTCGTTGTTTTGCTTTGTTTTTTTGAATGTCCAGAGGACCAGATTTAACTTTTTTAGAGAAATCATCACTGTTCACTGAGAAGCCTGATATCTACAGGGATGAATGAGTTATTCAGTCTGTTTGTCCTACATCTGGGCAGCAGATACCTGCGTCCAGATGAAAACAACATGAACTCACCATGGAGTGGATGAACAGGATCTGCCAGAATCAGCCTGGCCTTGTTCACTGACTTCACCTTGTGAGGTTCTGTAGAGCTATGCCAGCAGTTTTGCTGCATATCCTGACAATCTCCAAGAGTCTGTATATTTCCTGGGCCACAATAAACTTAATAAATTATAGACTTCAGAAAAAATTACCCAAATGTATTTATGAAGGACACTTTCTGAACTAAAACAATCAAAAAAGTCTGGAATTTATCCAGAATGTTTAATATATCTTTTCCTTCTTTAGACGCTTGTCTTGTTTAACCTTTTAGGTAACGGCACAGAGAAGGATAAAGACACAACTGGCCTGTAACATCTGTAACATCACAACTTGTGTGCACTTGTCAGCTCACCTGTTCGCTTTGATTTATTTTAATCTGATTTTTTTTTTTTTCTTTAGAACAGCAAACTCACTTTAGTTTGTTTTTGTCTGCAGCTGAAATCCGGAGGCGGAGGACGCCGACGAGGAGGACAGAGACATCGAGGGAAAGGTCTAAATGTTGGAGCAGTGTCTCCAGCTGTGTCTACAGGAGCAACGGGCACAGCTTAAAAGCAACGTTTCCTCAACCAGTTATCATCATCATCATAATCATCATCATCATTATCGAAACAGAAAAAACACGACTGACCGTCTTGTTCTCGATCCACAGCCTTTCCTCACTTCATGTAATCACTTTTTGAAACAAGCGACTCATGTTCCACATAAAGTCAGTTGAAAAGGTTATTTGTGGTTTTTTTTTATTTTCTGTAAACTGTTAAAGTTGGTATTGAGTTAAGAATTGAGTTAAGTTTGAATATAATACCAATCTTTTCAGTGTGTTTACCTGTTTGTCGTCCATCAGATCTTCCTGCTCAGCCTCCAGCCTGCCAGACTTGTTCTTTTTATTGCTCTCCTACGTCTTGCGCTCATCTCACTGTCACAATGACGACAGATTTAAGAAGATGCGCTTATGGGTTTTTCAAATGTTCAGTTAAATTGTTCTTTGAAAGTGAAAACTTAATTAATTAGCTTGAAAGTGAGCAAGTGCCAAACTTGATTTTTGACACAAAACGTTTGATTAGATGTAGCTGCTGTGTTCATGTAAGCTCCCTGTTTAAGATGGTTTCCTGAAAAACAAAATGACTAAAAAATGTTTGATTTGAAAACTTTTTTTAAATGTGGAAATATTGTGGCCATTTCACAGAACAGCATTCTTACTAACTTTTCTTTACCATCTGTTTGGAAAATTAAATGGGTTTCATTTGTTTGAAGTCGGATTGCCAAGTTAGATTTTGCTATAGATCGATTTTTAATCATTTTATTCTGAACTTATTTTCAAAAGCCTTTTTTAAAAGATTTACTACATTTAGTTTTCACAGCTGAAAGGGTTATATAACCCACTGTTTGTGTTTTCTACTTGCATTTTTTCAAGTTCTGAAATTTTGTAAGCACACTTTTGTACTAAATATGGAAAACAGGAAGACAAAACCTTGAGAAAAGTTTTTTTTTTGCAACAATTACTAAAAATGCTTGAGTATAAATCATTTTACTATTGCAATACTTAAATTTGTCAAGTCAAATATCAATGAACAACTCAAATATCAATGAACAACTCAACCACTTGTTTTTTGGTCACCCATATTCATTTTAATAAGAGAATTGCTGCAAAGCAAAATAAGCTACAGGGGTCAAAAAAAATAATTAAAAATGTCACATAATCATAGATCTTAATAATATTTATGGTGTAAAGTGCAGCTCTGAAATCACTTTCTTTTTACAGCCTATGTAATTAGACTAAATACTATTTTTTTTGTAAGAATAAAATTATGCTACTGCCACATGCCCTCGTGCCAACATCAGCAACTACAGCAGGCAATGCAAGACTGTTTACCTTTTTTTTAATCATAAGAATATGTTCTTGTATGGGTTATAAAAATGCTTAACTGCCAAAATATATATATTTTTCCCCTTTTTGACTGGGTGGACTTTTTAGACACGTTTTGTCTGTTTGTATAGAAATGGTGTTTGTTCAGACAATTTGTGTTGTAAATTCTTTTGAATAAAGACATTAAAAAAACACTTTTTTTTGGGTCTGTTTTATACAAATGTTTAATAACTACTACAAATATTGTGTCTGACGGACAGGCAACCTATCCAGGGTGTACCCCACCTCTTCTTGCCCATTAACCACTGGTATGCACCAGCTCCCCCCATGTCCCAGCACAGAAAAACGAGTAAAGAAAATGGATGAATATATTAAATCACTTCACATATCACTGGAAATGTACAAAAAAAATAGCTATTTTTTCTCATGGTCTGGAGAGTTTATCTTGGCACACAGTGTCATAATCGGGTATGATAAAAAGTTATAGTAATTATCAGTATCAATAATATATATATAAAATGTATTTTAGGTTTCTATAGTTCTCGTGTTTAAAATGTAACATGTCCAATATTGTTCCACACAGACACTTTGACCAGAAATATACCAACTACATGTGGGTCACTAGCTCTAATACTCTTTGTGTGAATTAGATTGTATATTGTGCTCAGTTTGAATAAATATTTGCATAAATATATCTTAAACTTCATTACACCCCCTTTATTTTCTTCCTAGTAATAAACATTTTTGTTTGTTTTTGCTTCATTTTATTAATTGGGTCATTTTGAAATAAATCTCTGGACTCGGACAGTTTTTAATTAAGAGTGCTTTATTCTTGCAAGAAGGAACAATGGATGCATACAAAGTTCACAGGATGTTCAGAGGGTCCTCCTCTGAGACACTTTTGCAAGTCGTATCTTAAAAGTTCATCATGAGGTCTAGTTTTCTTGTCACTGTGAGGTCTGCTGGTCATCTCACATCCTGCCCTTAGGTTTCTTCATGTGGCTTCCACTCCACACAACATGCCTTTGCATACAACAAAAGCAATATGCAGGTGGAGGAGTTCAAGTATCGGGGCATCTTGTTTACGAGTGATAGTAGGAGAAAGGGGTCTCTCTCAGTAATGAGGGCGTTGCTTCAGTCAGTTGTGGTGATGAAAGAGCTGAGTCAAAAAGCAAGCTCTCGATTTACTGATCTCTCTACGTTCAAGCTCTCATCTACGATCATGAGATTTGGATCATGACCCATCAAATAGATCCCTGATACAAGCGGCTGAAATTCAAAGGGCGGCCGGGAAATTAGCTGTCCTCTCCTGACGCGTCCAGTGGACATCCCTCTGCTACCTATTTAATTCCAGATCTTGCCAATGATTGCAGCTCTAATTCAGACTGAGCAGCTCACCGTTTTAGTGTAAATTGTTTGGCCTTGGCTTACTCGGTACGGTTTTGAAATATGAACTAGTTTATAGCCAGGTCCAAGTTTGTGGCCAAGTGTTTGGTTCTGAGGCCTGTCTTTGTGGGTTAACTGTTAAAACACATGTACGTTTCTGGAGGCAGGCCCAGCAAGTTTACTAGTAGAAACCATTGTTTTCCTTAGCGATTAAAAGTTTTGCTTTGTTGTTTAATTAAAAGGTTGTATTAGTTTATCCATCCATCCATTACCTTTTTACCCACTTCTTCCATTTTGGGTCACGGGGGTCACCGGTGCCCATGTCCAGCAATCAATGTGCGAGGGGCGGGGTACACCCTGGACGGGTCTCCAGTCCATCACAGGGCCACTTAGAGACAAACGAGACAAACAACCATTCACTCTCTCACTCACACCTAGGGGCAATTTAGAGTTACCAATCAGCCTAACATGCATGTTTTTGGTCTGTGGGAGGAAACCGGAGTACCCGGAGAAAACCCACGCATGCACGGAGATAACATGCAAACTCCACCCAGGAGGGCCCCCGGACTGGGATTTGAACCGTTAACCTTCTCTCTGAGAGGCAGCAGCTCTACCAGTTGCGCTACCGTGCTGCCGTATTAGTTTATCAATTTCCTTATTTTAGTTTGTTACTAAAATAAGGAAATTGATAAACTGATTTGTATATATATTTGATTTATTTGTATATTTTAGCGTTGATTTTTATTGTACAGCGCTTTGTGATTTTATGTCTGTGATAAGCACTTTATAAATAAACTTTACTTACTACTTACTTACTTACTCAACTTTGCGTAATTTTTCGTAGAGTTGTGTAAAACTTAGTTGTTGGTGGACTTTCTGATTAATTTTATTGATAGACTGGTTTTTGTTTGACGTTATATTTGTAAACCAATATTATTGGTAACCAGTATTGGAAAAGGCACCCCTTATTTATTGTTAAAACTTAACTGGCCAAATAATAAATCCCATTTCCTTTTTATACCTATTTGCATCTGGTTTAACTGGTACTTCTCCTTTTCTTGGCTGAGCCGAGTTGTAACAGGTTGGGCATCTGATTAGGATGCCTCCTGGACTCCCCACTTTAAAAGTTTTCTGGGCATGTCTCACTGGTAGGAGGCCCCGAGGAAGACCCAGAACTCAATGGAGGGATTGTGTGTCTTTTCCAGCCTGGTAATGCCTCAGGGTCCTCCCCCCAGGAGGAGCTGGAAAGAGTCGCTGGAGAGAGAGATGTCTGGGTTTTGTTCCTGAACCTGTTGCCTCCACGACCAAACTACAGATAAGTTTAGAAGATGGAAACAAGCGATATCAGCAATTTATTATAAACCAGCAAACAGATGCACTGGCGTCAAACCATATAGAGTCTGTAAAATCTTCCTCTCCTCTGGTATAGAATTAAACCAAAACTTAACTTGGCCAAAGATACACACCTTCAATTCTTGCCACACTTATTTTACACTGTTTGTATCATTCTGCATTCAAACACTGAAAACATCATGAGCAATTTTTCTACTAATTATCCAGTTACTTTATCTCTTGCACAAGCAGTAAGTCATCGGTTGTTTATTCGTTTGTTCTTTCTTTTCAGGTCTCTCTTGTAAATGAGTCCATGAGGCTCAATGGGATTAACCTGTATAAATAAAGGTTGAATAAATGTATTCTTTCCAGAGTGCATTTGCTGCTTAATATTAAGTGATAATTGAAAATATGCATTGTAGTTTAACTTAGTCAGTGACATGTTAACTGGTTACTGTGGAGGGAAAAGCTGCCTTCAGTGACTGTTTATATGACAAACACAATAATCTGCCTAAGAAGAGCAACAGGAATGGTGTGTGAATAAACCAACTGTGGTTCATGTTGTGCAGGGAGGAAGCACAAACAGACTGATAGACAGATGGCGAGAAACCGTCTGGCAACAAAACGGGCCGAAGAAATAGTGTATTGATTCAAAAACTGCGTGGGAGTGGAGAGAGACAATGAGACAGTGAATTACTTAGGAAGAGTGCTGGAGAACACACAGACCTAAAATAAGATGCATCATACAATATGGTTGTGGACATAAGGTCAGCAGGTTAAAAGCATGACAGGTAACAAGGAAATATGCACAAATATGAATATAAAGTTTGGAAAATTGCTAGTTTAGACACATGCAGGTTTTTCCAATGGGCTTTGAATTCCCACTGACACACAAAAAACATTTTAGTTAAGTGAAAACAGAACTCTTTTCTAGTATAGATGTACAAAGTATTAGAGTAGAGGTGTAGATGGTTCATTTTGTTATGAAAGCTTGCATTTTTTGGGGGGGCCAAACTGTCCATTTTTGTCCTTTTTTTTTAATTGCAAATTTCTTTGAATGCAAATTAAAGTGTACTTTTTTTTTTCTAAGGGTTGTTAAATATACAGTTACTTAAGTTAAACAGCTACTGTTCTTGCAAAAAAAAAAAAAAAAAAAAAAAATCTGTTATCAGCCATCTGCTGCCCTGATTTCTAAAAATTGATTTCGGCACAGACCATTGAAAAACTCAAATTGGTCGACCTTTACTACGAAGACAAGTCTCCGTCAAGGTTCA